TCTGTTGAGTGGCGACTTTTGTTTCCCGACTATGCGCTTGTGGCACAAATATTGCGGTCTGAAAATCTGTATATAATCGAATAAGTGTGAAATTGGATAGTGCAACAAGAACAATTTACTTTGATTAAATAAGCACAAACAGAGAAGTGAAACACAAGTACTTCGCGTTAAATTGGATACGTATAAACTTAATATTTCAAATCGTTGGTGAAAGTGGAGAATCTAGGCGCGCTATTGCTAACTGTTAGACCAGCATTAACGACGTATCAAAAGGATATTGTTCAACGAGTTCCTCAATTGTCGGAACTTGGCAAAGTTGTCGTCCATCAGTATCCCTTTCAAAGATGGTCTTAAAGAGAGCATCCCCATAAATTTTATCAATGAAGGCGGTTCGGCATCTCTCCATAAAAATGCGCTCCTCCTCCTTTTTTCGGTCCTGTCTCTCCTCCTCTAGCTGCTGTTCCACCATCTGGTCAACCGCCATTTGATACTTCTCATAGGCTTCGGCTTTCTACAGTGGAACAGACGACAATTTTCCTTAGGCAGTGGCATTTGCCTCAAACTTGGCCACTTAATCTGATATTTAGTGGTGGCAACTCGTCGCTCTGATCATCCCTTCACATAACGCGGCACCATTTTCTACAGCAACAACTTTGTTTTCCGATGAAACGACTTCAGCAAATTGGTATCTATTTAAAAGTATGCTTAACCAACTGAATTTTATAAACTGCAAGTGTTATCCATGGTATTCTTCGATAAGCTGCACTTCCGCATTAGCCTTCACGCCAATACAGTTCATGTAGTGATTGGAGAAATTAAATCAGGTCATTTACGTGCTTTAAGGAATGAAAACTGTTTTTTTTTTACAAAACCGACATCCCTGAGGGAGTTGGGATCTTGCCGCATCGACGGTACCAGATTAAAACAACTGATGGCAGCGCCTAAGTCTTACCCATTTGGGGAGGATGCTCTTGTAGTCAAGGTATTTTAAATGAGGCAAAAAGGCGAAAATGTACTGTTCGTATTCTGAATGACTGCTTATTGGATTATCTGCTAAAGAGAGGCAGTCCAGTTTTTTGAACCTTCGAAGATACAGGACCTGGAAAAGCATAATGGACAAATCTGGCTAGGGTCTCCGGAAGAAATTAACGCAGTAAATCAGAGTTAAGAGAGATTTCATTTAATCAATTTAACTAATGCATTACGAAGGATTGCTGATGAGATTTTGTAAAGGTTAATCACGTACAACTTTGATATTTTCACAAAGCCCCAAAATTTACGTTTACAAGAGGATTGCGCGGCATCAACAGTAGACTTGCAATATGTAGAATTAGCATAAATACAGGAAAAAAGGACCAACCTCTGCAGTTATACGAACACTACGCTTTGAGTAAACTAACATTTTTTAGATCCTCAACACCATTGCTTCCCAGGGCAAGGTAACGGAGTTTTTTGTTTTGATCCAAATTTTCAATCTTTTCGATGGCATTATGGAAAAGGCTCAGATCCTCCAAGTTGACAAGGTTTTCCATATTTTCAATCTTCCGTAAATTATTGAAGGAGAGATCTAAAAGGTGATGTGTACTGATTTGAAGAAACCACAAACGTACCGCACTAATGACGCCCCTTTGATCACTCACCCAGTCGGATTAAATTCACGAGCATATCGAGTCCCTCAATTTTCTCGACAATGTTGTTATCGAGACGAAGCTCGGTCAAGCTAATGAACTGATTTAGGCCTCCAATGGTAAGTATGTCTACAGAGAAAGCATTCGTAATTGCTTGTAGTTTGGGGACCAAACTTTGTGAATTGTAGAAGCTGCATAAGTTTAATGTAATACCAAGCTACAAACGATTCTAAGATGTAGTTTATCTTTAGAATAACCCGTAGTACATTCACTTTTAATTCGCTGAGGAAGAACTATGAATAAAACAAAAAACTAGGAGTTTGGTTACAGTTGATTTTACGAACACTTTATGTGGATGATGCGATAAGATACTTTTAGAACACCCTGTTAGTTTGAATGTATCAGTGAAGTTACAAGAAGGTACGTTTACAGTTGTGCTGAGCGTGTCGACCAGTAATAAAAGCATGCACGTAGTAATTCAAATTTTGTGACAGTTAACAGATTTTTTAGTGAAGGACGGCAGGAATGCCGGTGATTTCAAAATTTTTACAGCAGCTGTTTAGTTTCTGTGCTCTGGGCTAGTAGGCTTGTTGTGGTGCCAACAAGGTGAGATCAATCTCAATGAATGAATTGAGGAAGACGGCCTATTACTATCCTCCGGCTTTAGACGAAATGATAGCGCATGTAAGATCCAAAGTGCTCTAGTTGGCTGTCAAGGAAGAATGAGAAGAAGAGCTTACTTTGGTAGGAGAGGGTTAAAGATTTAACGGAGTCAAAGGCGATCCCCTCAATTTCTGCCAACCGACCGGCCTCTCCGGTGGGACCCTCGGCAAAGCAGGCGTAGGTGAGAAGCTCTTCATTGATTACCGTTGGTTCCAACTGGCCGTACACCCGGAAGGCACCTTCATTACCCCAAAATACTTTGTTATGCTGTGCCCTTGACCCTTCAACCAGATTATAATGCCCTGTACCTTCGACAAACAAGTTAACCATCTCCTGCCCTCAATTGTGCCCGCGCATAGTCAGGGACAGATTTTTTTTTGCTTTACACTGTAAGGCTTGCATTCGTGCAGCTAACAGTGACTAAGGGCTATGTGTGAATTGTTAGGAGTTTTTATCCCTTACATTTTTTTACATCCATTGATGCCAGTTCCTAGAAAAGGTGCTTCTATGTGATTCTCATGATGCTATGTGATTTCAGCAATCCAAACTTATCTTAAAGTCGAATTTTTAAACTTTGTTTGAAGCATTGACTGGTGATCTGTTCAGTGGGCAATTTAAGATGTCTGTTGGATCATATGTATTCATAATAACATCCAAAGACTTGAGAACTTGCGATTATCTTTTGCCTTCTTGAACTCCGATATTTTGAACTGGAAATCTGGAATAGAAGAGTTTTTGAGAATTTAAATAGATGGAGCACAAATGGCATTGGAAGTAGTGCCGCGAGATCTCAGAACACTAAATTACGGTATCTGAGATACCTTGGTTCGATTGCTCTCCTACCTACTCTTGAAACTCCGAGGAAATAAAGGTTCTTGCAGATCGTATTATCGGTGAATGTTTTTAACTGATAATTTCTCTAAAACCTAAATCGCTGCCATTCGTGTATATAAAGAAGGCGTATATGCTAATTTAATTGGTGAATTCATTGTCTTAAATTCGTTCAAAATCACCCACCTAAGTAGAATATGTTAAAGAACTCCACTAAAATGGTCATTTGAACATAATTGACACAAGTCCTTGTAATATTTTTGCTAGTTTAAATTGACTTATCCTATGGTCATTACTTACGATGAGGTGAAAAACGTATTCATTAGGGACCTAATTTTCCAAGAAACTAGGCAAGGAAAGCAATTACGAACCCCTTCGAGAGGTAAGATTGGTATCGGTGCGACTCATTCTCGCAAGCGGCTGTCCCACAATGAACTGCCATCTACTGTGACACTTATTGATTAACCTAAACAGGGGGTTTAAATTACTAACGTGACTGAGTGAAATTAGTGAGGATAGCTGAAGGTCCCTAATCCGTCGTAACCTCGTCCTGGTTGTTTACAATTTCTGGTGGCATTTTTCTTCTCTAAGAAGTTGGTGAAAAGCAAGCCTGGACATAAGTTGGAAATATTCCATATTCCCAAGAGCAAAAGTTCTTTGCAAAAACTCACTTTTAAGGGTAAAATGCGAAAGTTTTTTAGGAACTGAGCAACATACAGCTTATTCTTCCATTTCTCCGGCACATTCCACCTCACCCGCAACCTAAAAAATTTGCAACTATGGTCATTTAATTGCAGCATTCAGTAATTAATTAGTTTCTAGTAAGGCAACATGCATGCTTAACTGGTACCTTTTTACTTTTCGTTAAACCCATGTTAGAACATTACTTCATCAGGTTGTTAGTCAAAACTGAACTGTTCCCGTTAACAGAGTTGTGACTAACAGAGACTGACTCATGTAAAATATAATTGATGCACAAAATTTATTTACCTGCTCGACTGCAGTTGTGTTCTCGTTATGTTTATCCATTTGGCCAAGCATCGTGCGAAGTTGTAAGAACAATGCTCCGGACTGTTCTGCGGTGACCACAGTGTTTTCAAATGTAACCATAAGTGTCTAAAAATGGTTTTTGAAACTCGTCTTACCTCTATTTTTCGCTTTATCTGATCATATGCACGGGTTTCATCATTATAATAGGCCCTCTGATGTGTGATTGACAACTCCTATTTCACCTTACCGCATATTGGCTGATTTTGGCATCAAGATGAACTTGGCTTGTCAATGCTTCCTTCTCGGCAGCAAGCTGTAGTTGAGTCTCCTGCAGTGAGCGTATCTTGTCCTTTGATTCTCTCAATTTCTCCAATAGTATGGCTTTATCGCACTCCAGGCGCTGATTTTCTAACTTCACCGACGAAACTAAAGACCTTTTAGTTTGGCGTATACTACCAACCAACAGATTTAAAGCGAGCTAAAAACTCTTCCATCTTTTCAATGCTGCTTTGAAGTTGCATCAATTGACTGCGCAAGATGGTCAAACGACTCAAGGCCAATTCAGTCTGACTTGTTTGGAGAGAACTTTCTGACTCACAAGATCTGACTTTGAGTTCTAGTTCCGTTATGTACCTCTGGTATGTCAAATTAGTTAAGTGAAAATACCAAACACTTCTGATGATCATCCAAAAGGCTTCTCTTTTCAAGCTCAAGCACATTAGCATTATTTTCAAAGCGCTTCTACAACAAATTGATGCTAAACTTTTAAAGTACCAAATTCTGCTCCAATTCAAGTACTCTACTTGAAAGATTCTTTGATTTTTCGTCAGTGAAAGCACCGTCACATTTTAACCTTGCTTCCTAAGTGTGTGTCAAATTAGAGGCAAGTGTTACATAGTCCTTTCTCAGTTCCGTGAGTTCGTGGGACAATTCGAGGATTTTTTTCTCATATTTGGAATTTATTAACTAAAGATAGTGCTTTGAGAGCTACTTACACGCGTCTCCTTAACTTTTTCAATTAAGCACTTTGTATTAGCGAAAAAACGTGATGTTTCTTGAAATTGCATCCTGAATTTGTTTAAAATTGCGTTGACTCCATTATCAAATTTCGGGCAAT